GCGGAGCGCCCCGGATCGGCGGCACTGGCCGGAGGCCACTACAATAATGGAAAGTGACGAGCGAGGAGGAGCAGTGAATGGGTGGAGCAAAGAAGAGGATGGTTGAGGAGTGCAAGAGTGAACGCAGCAAGCAGCAGCACGCAGCAGAAACCAAAGGCGCGCGACACAAGCCCGTAGCAAGCAACTCGGAGCAGCAGCAGGCAACAACGAACGGCTACGATCGGCAGCAGCAACGGCAACTGGCTCAAACAGCAGCGCTGCCCATCATGCAAGAACCAATCTTACACCTCGTGAATTTATCCCCCCCCCCCCGCCCACCTACACTTCCACAGTTTCTTCATCCCACAGCAGAGTAGCGGCTATGCGCGGCAACGCAACTTGATTGGATGCTACCCGTCATCTGCCACGCCGCGCCGATGATGTTACGGCCGTCGATGTTCCCCCTCTTGTTGAGGTGCGTCTGCAGACCCTCCACCAAGTCGCCGCCCGATAGCTTCTCCATGACGATGCACAGGCAGCTGCCCTCGGGGAAGATGCCGTGGAACCTCACGATGTTGGAAGAACGCGCAACTTCATAACCACAAACTGCTGGAGGTTCGCACGGATTTCTCAGGTCAGCGCCAGACCCCGTGTGGTGACGGACCGCGTGGTGACCGCGGAACCCCCGACTACCTCACCGCGCGGACTGTCACCGCACGGTCTTGGGACCCTCGAGGCCCCAATCACCCCAGACGTCCTCGGAGAACGACCTTAATCCCAAAACCGTGCGGTGACCCCGAATCCCAAATGACTCACCACGCGATGTGGTCACCACACCCTTGGGGGGCCCCCGAGACCCTCCCTCCCCGCGCACCCCCTCGGAGCGCTCCGGGAAAGGTGCCGGAAGCGCTGGGGGGGGGCGCCGAGCCACGAGGTCCGAAAGTCGATGGTTGTGCAGTCGTCTGTTCTTCCAGATGTTGGGATGGGCCAAGCTCTCGAGCATCTGGGCTTCCTCGAGGGCGAACAATAGGAGGCGGACTGGCTCAAGGGGGGGGCGACGTTGACATGGAATCGGCGGTACATCGCCGACAGGTCGTCATGAGGCTCTCGACAGCGAAACGGAGCGTTCATGGACGGTGAGGGCTCTCAGGCCCGCAACGGCGATGAATGGATCATTGGCATCATTGGGGGTCTGTGCGTCCCCCCCGAGCATGTCCTACCCTGTCGAACCCTTGGCTTTTCGGGTCATACCTCGACTCTCAGGCGGCCGTTCGGGACAATCTGGGCATCCGCAGAATGCTCTCGGTGAGGCGCAGCTGCTTGAAAGCACCCTGGGGCCAAAAGACCGCCGAGAACCGACGAAGCCGTCCGAAAACCTGGGCAACCACAGCGTTGCCCGGAACGTTGCCCACGAGGCTGGGCCCTGGCTCCTTCAACACGTCCGCGGACTTGTTGACGGTAATGTCGACCAGCTTGGCGGCAACCACCTGCAATTAGAGCAATACGCAATGAGTAAACATAAACTTTCGGAGATCCGCGCGGACCTCTTCGAGCGCCAGGGCGGCGCCGGAGGCGCCGCCAGGGGGACCCCGTGCCGAGCCAACAGATCCGCGCGGACCTCCGAACAGTTACGTACTTATGTTGATAGATTTGTCCTTCTTCGATCCTGGCCGTCGCGCCGCCGGGTGCAGCTGTACACCACGCCAAACGCCCCGTCGCCCAGCTTGCGGCCGACCAGGAACATCCTGGAGAGTGACGGCTCCACGCGGCAGGCCGCGGCTCCTGGGGCAGAATCAGGAAAAATCTGCACCACCGCCAGCGAGGAGGGGCAGGAGAGCCACGTCGACAGGGAACAGCACATCAGCCGGTCCCGGTCTCCAGAGTAGAGTGTAGGGAAATGACATGTGGAGGTGTTTCGCGCTGTTTTCGGCCTCTGGGGGCCCTTACCAGGCCCCGAGACCACCAAAAACAACTGTTCAGGGTGATAGGCCGGCCCTGGGCAATGGGGCGGGGGCATCCGGGGAACCCCGAGTGGACCCCAGCATCCTGAGTGAGGGTCTGCTGTTCCTTGGACTGGCGAGGCGCTGAGCCAACGTGGCTCTGGTCTCTCTCGCTCTCTCTCTCTCTCTCTCCGTTCCCGACGCAAGCTGTGGGGAAACCTCCATCCGTTCTGAACTGCATACTAACATGCCTGATTGCATCTATGCTATCGGATCCCGCAATCCAAAAATCGGATGACTGGTAGGTCAGCGCTGGGGCCCGGGAGTCCTCCTGGTGGTGTGCTCCCCCTTCTTTGCGGAGTGAAGCGTGAGACACTTCCATTCTCCAGCGGGGGGCAGCGCTAATCTCCTTGCCGGAGGTGGCCCGCTGGTGGTGGTGTCGCTCCTCCGTCCTCCGACTGAGGCATCCCCAGATCTCCGACGCCTTTGTTTCACAGCGCGGACCCCCCGAGGTCTGGACCACTTCCCCAGGACCAGTGTTTCATCCCGAGTCGCTTTCTGACGATCCCGAGGCCCGGTGAGGGCTCCTGCAGGAAGCCGAAACTTGTAGAAGACCTCCCTTTACGATGTTCCGCGCCACGGGAGAAGGTGGAGGGAGGAGGAGGGAGGGAAGAAACGAACAGGCCCCTTCAAAACGATCCCTCTGCCCTCGGCTTCTGACGCCATTCTTTGCTCGCGCCGAGGCCAGGGTCCCCGAAAGTCTCGGGAGGCCCCTGCCAGCCCCCAGAAAAGCTTCCAGAGGCGCCCAGAGGCCCACCATAGGCCCCGAAAAAGAGCACCGAGAACACGTCCAGTGCCCTTGGTCCGCCTTCCTCTTCCTTCCTTCCCTCCTCCTCCGCCTCCTCCTCTTCTTCCTTCCTCCTCTTTCTCCTCCCTCATCCTCCGTCCCTGTCCCTCCCTCTTCCCTCCCTCACTCCGCCTCGGTCCACCCTTCCCTCAGTCCTCCCTCCCTCCCTCCCTCCCTCCCTCACTCATTCCTCCTCCCTCCTGCTCCCTCGTCCTTCCTCCTCCTCCATTCCTCTTACCCCCATCATCGCTCCCTGCTCCCTCGTTTCCAGGAGACTCTGGGCGGTCCTTCGCGGTTGCTGGCGGGGGCGTGGGAGCCGCATGCCGCCAACGGCGCCATCGAGATGTATGCAGGCCACCAGCTGCCTCCCCCTGCGGTCGCGCACGCCCAACTCGGGCCAAAGCAGCTGCTGGCGCGTAGAGTTGGATACAATTCCCGATGTGTGCGTGCCATGCTTACCCATGGGTCACGCACATCTTCTCTGTACCGTTCCAGCTTCAGCGGATGATCCCCAAAAGGAATCCACGCAGGTTCAAGACGAGGATGATGATGCTGCTGCTGATGATGATGCTGCTGATGATGATGACGATGCTGCTGATGCTGATGATGATGATGATGATGATGATGATGATGAGGAGGAGGGCGATGACGACGTGGAGCGCGGCCCCAAGGATGGTCCCAAACGCACCCACGTGCGCCAAAATGCCCCCAAGATACCCCCTAGATGCCCCAAGATGCCTCCCAAGAGCCCCCAAAATGCCTCCAGGGCGTCTGGATCGCAACCCGATCCCAATGGCGGCATGGGCAAAACGCCACTAGAATCTAGTGGCCTTCTGCCCATGCCGCCATCGGGATGTTCGCCCTCGCACTATAGCCACCACTGCCCATTGCCTTCGTCCCCTTTCCGCGAGTTGCACCTCAAATGAAACGGCCTGCGATTGGTGGCGCCATAGGTTACGCAATCGCCGGCCAACAACTCAATAGGTTGCGCACTGCATGGACAATTAAAACGGTCTGCTACCTGTGGCGCCATAAGTTGCGCACACGACGGTCGGAAATAGAAAGGCCATGCGAACGGGCGAGTCAGACAGTCAGCAATCAGTCATCTGTCAATCAGCAATCAGCTAGCTCACTCCTCGAATTACATCTCCAGGCTGGGCCAAGAACAAACGAAAGGATGAAGGACGGACGCCATATGGGGGACGTAGGGAGGGGAAAAAGGCGGGAACCCGTCTGTGAAGCCCCTCCTCCTCCGCCGTATACTCAGCCTCGTCCTCCGCCTCCTCCTTCTCAACCTCCTCATCCTCCTCCTGCTCGTCCTCCTCATCCCTTCCTTCATCCTCCCTCGTCGTCCTCCTCCTGCTTCAACTTCCCCGTTTTCCTCCCTCAGTGTCTTAAGTGGCATGAGCTTCGACCGGAAGAGGCTCGCTCTCGACCCGCGGATCAAAAATTGTCTTAAGAGAAATGGTAGGGGAAGCTGGCTCAAGGGGGGGCAGGAACGTCGATGAATCAACGGCGATACATCGCCGAGGGATCGCCGATATGCCCCCGATAGCGAAGCCGCACGGCCTCAGGCGGGGTGGGCCATCTGGCCCCTATCGTCGATCGCTGGGCGATAGCCCCTGGTCCTCCTCCTGAACTGGACCCCTTCTTCTCCCTCCTGCTCTTCCTTCGAAATCCACCTCCTCCTCATTCATCGCCTCCTCCCTCCCCGTCCTCACCCCCTCCTCCCGCCTCCTCCTCTCCCCCCTACTGATCCAAACCTTGCGTTCTATTACCCCCCCTGCTCCTGCTCATCGCCCGTCGTCCCACCCCCCACCTCTTCTCCCCCCGTCCCCCGTCTCCCTCGTTTTGCATATTCAGGGGACCTTGTCTATCCCGTCGCGCCGCTATCCGCGTCGAATCCGCGTCGAATCCTTGTCGAGAGCGTCGAATCCGTGTCGAACCCATATCGAATCCACATCGGATCAAAGCCGACTCCACGCCGACTCCGCGGCAACCACGCGTCGAATAGCAAGAAAGACTACAATGCACAGGACAGGCGAGGCCCACTGAAGATGCAACGTGCTCTCCAGAATCCCATCCGGGAACACGCCCCAGCACGAGGGAATCCGTGGAAACAAATGCAATTTCGGGTCCAGGCCTTAAACAACTCTTCCACTCAGGACAAAACGAAGAACTCCAAGGGGCCTGAGGACACTGCAACTCACGCCTCAGACCTCTCCCCCCCTCCCTCAACCCCAGCAGTTCCCAGGATCCCTCCACTGAGCCTCGACGAACCGCCCGCTGAACCTTAACAACGAAAGCCCCGCGAGGCCGACCGCGTCGACTGCGGCGGCGACGACTTCCTGGCCGGGGCGCCCAAGGGCCTCGTCGGGCAAGCTCGGGACGGCGTCCACTATGCGGAGCTCCGAGACGACACCAGCGGCCTACGCCGCGTCCGCTCGATCAGCCGCCCTCCTCCTAGCCCTCGTCGTCCACCCCGAACCCCTTTGCTTCACCAGTGTCGGCGAGAACCTCTCCGCGCGCGCTACAGTCAGGACCTTCCTACTTTTGGTGAGCGTGTCGCCGCGGCGGCCCCGGCGACACGCTATGCCTTGCAAGCGGATAGCGTGTCGCTCCTCTCCGCGGGACGGGGGGATCGGAACAGCTCGGGACGCTGCCGCTTAGGCATAGGGGTGTGGATAGTGCGTCGCACCGAAGCGTGGTGGACCAGAACCAGCGACGCGACACGCTAAGTCACAGACAATTCCTGACCGTACGCCGTAAGCCCTCTCCGATGCATTTAACCTGCTTCTGGTCGTCCCGTTCCTCCTCCTCCTCCTCCTCCTCCTCCTCCTCCTCCTCCTCCTCCTCCTCCTCCCCTTCTCCTCCTCCTCCCCCTCCTCCTCCTCTACCTCGGCCTCTTCCAAAGCTTCCTCCCCCTCCACACTTCCGCTCCCGAATGGTACTCGTCCTCGTTACACCCCATCCCTATCCCCATTCATCCTCCCGTTCCTTTCGTCGTCGTCCCAATTCTCATGCTACTGCGTCCCTTCCTCGTCCTCGCGGACATCTTCATCCGGTTCTTCCTCATATTCCGTCGCATATGCGTCCTCTTTGTCATCCCTCCGCCTTACCATAGTCCTCTTGCTTTCTCCTTCTGTTCCTCCGACTCGCCCTCCCGCTCAACCAACCAAACCATCATTTTTTCGCGTCATCGTCGTCGTCGTCCACCCCTGTCCTCTCATCAGTATATGAGTATGCCGCCTGCACCTGCGTCGCGTCCTCATCGGTTTGCGTCACCTGCCCCTCCACCTCCCCCCTCCTCCTCGTCATCCTGTTCTTTCATCGCTCCTCCCCCTCCTCTTTCTCACCCTCTGCTTGCTCTTCTCCGCGCCACTCCGCGTTCACCCTTGACCTCGCGTCCTGTCCCCAGTGGTGATCCCGTTCCCTCATCGTCAACATGTCCTCCCTGGGTGATCGACCGTTGATATTCACCCCTCCCCTCCCTCCCTCTCACACCCACCCATGTCCTCGCCTCCCGCCCGCACCCTGTCCGCATCCCAATTTCAACAATACCTTTTGCTGCCCGTGTCCTCCTTTTCGTCCTCCCGACCCCCTCCCCTCGCATTCGTCTTACCAGTCACAACTGGGGGAGTTGTGCTTTGGACCCCCTGAGGGAACCAATCGTGCCGACGAGCTCTCGTTCTCTCGCTCTCTCTCTCTCTCTCGTTCTCGATCGATCGGAAAGGAGAGATATAGAGAGAGAGAGAGAGAGAGTGGAAGGGAGAAGGAGAAGGAGGGGGTCAAAACCTGAGGATTGCATGTGGGGGAAGGCCCTTAGCTCCCACAGTTGCCGAGAGTCTGGTGCTGCATGTGGCGTGACCGGGCGGCCATCGAGGTCGTCATCCACGGAGCTCCTCCTTCAACGCAATGACAACAAAAACGATGGCGCCGCGCCGTTACTCGAGCGGGCAAAGGGCGTGCACCAGGGTACCCCTGCAGAGTCGCCCACCCTCTGATTGGATCGTTCAAGGTCCCTCCGTCCGATATATATATACATATATATATATATATATATATATGTATCTATATATACATATATATAACATGAATATATATATATATATATACGTATACATGTATATATATATATACATTTATGTATATATATGTGTTATATGTATATATATATTTACGTATATATATATATATTATATATACATATACATTTATATATATGTATATATACATATATACAATCCGGCGGTGTGGTCGGCCCGCGCTTCGGGCGCCTGCTCCTCGTGCGCTCGCCCGTCCCCCCCCCCCCACACCGACAGCCAACTTCCTCGCCCTCCCTCCCTGGCCTCTCACCTCGCCCCCCCCCCAGGGAGAGAAGAGAAGAGAAGCGAGATCCGAGGCACCCGTCCAAACGTGGTGCCTGGAAGGCCACAGCACGCCGCGGCGGGGGGCGGTGCCCAAACCCATCACCGCGGCCGATCACTCAGACGCCGCCCGAGGCGGCGCCTGCGCGGGCAAAACAGCGCAAGCGCAAAACGCGCAAACTAAAGGCAGGGGCGGCCGTTCAGGCGGCAGGGTGGGGAACGAGGGCGGTCGTCAAGACGATGTGGGGGTGGTTGTGTTGGTGGTGGTCGTGCTGGTGGTGGTGGTCGTGCTGGTGGTGGGTGTGGTCTCGTCCATCTCCCCGCTCCAACTCCTTCGCCTCCATCTCCATTTACATGACTAATCCGCCCCATTCTCTCCGTTCTCATGTTCCGAGACTTCAGGCCCTTGCAGTACCCTCTCCGAGCATCGATGAAGCCCTATGACATGCAGAAACGTTGGATGTCTCCAGAAATGCAAGGCCGCTCCCCCCCCAAAAAAAAACCCGAGACCCAAGACCCATGCCTGGATGGACAGATGGACCGATGAATCGCTGGATGGATGGACAGATGAGCTGATGGATGGATAGACGCAAGGGGATTCGGTGGGCGAGGCCGGAGAACAGGAAGGACAAGTACGCGTTTGTGGTTTTCTGGGTTTTGACACTTGCCCGAGGGGTGGGGGAGGTTCGGGGAGACGTAAGACCCGGGTACGGGGGACTCGGAAATCCCCGACGAGGTCGTCAAAAAAATGACGAGGCCGAGCCTGCATTTTGACGAGGCCTCCCGCTGCAGACATCCCACGAAACTCCTCATCGTCAAAATCCGGGTCGCGGTCGTCAAAAAACGATGGCGAACCCGAGTCCCGGCAAACCCGGGTCTTACGCTCCCCCGAGAGGTGGGGTGTCTGAGCCTGGGCCGGTGCTTCGTCGATCGCAAAGGGCCCGCGCCGATCGGCGAAACAATCAATAGAACATGGCGACAAGGTCACACCGTGCGGTGCCAGACCTTGCGGCGATCTCAAGACATTGACGGACCCGTGGAGGCTTTTAATAGTTGCCGGCGACATCCTCGGAGAACGACCCCTGTCCCGAAACCGTGCGGTCACCTCGAAGTCCCGATGACTCACCACGCGGTGTGGTCTCAACACCGTTTGGGGATCCGATGTCCTGAGCATGTCCATGCGGGACCCCAGAACTCCGGACCCTCTCTCCCGGGCCAATTCCTCATCCAGGCTCGTACTTCGACGGTCCCAACTTCCTGTGAGGACCGACGGTCCCAACTTCCTGTGAGGACCCTCAGAGACCGAAACGGGCAAACAACCTCCCGTCATGAGTTTCCAATTCATTGGACGTCTGCGTGAATTTGCGACCCCTGGGCTATTCGTCTCCACCGTCACCTCTGACCCACCTTCGGAACTTAAGCAGATCACGCCCTCTTGCTCCTCTGATCCACGCACGAAGGTGGAGTTTGGTAGCAGTAAGAATAATAGGAAGGGGGCAAGGACGACGAGGAGGAAGGGGAGGACGATCAAGTCCACCAGGGTTATTCGCTGTCTTGTGCTCGTGAACTCTGGAGGTGTCGTACACGTGGGGCGTACGGTAGAGTGAAGATAAGCAATCATCAGCAAAGCCTCTGCCACCCCTCTACTGACTGGGTTGAGAGGGTGCTGGCCAAACTCTTGGATGGCCGCCTTCTCCTGTGTCTGAAGGCGTGGCCAGACGAGCTGGGCAAAGGGGCAAGGAACAATAGAGTAGTTCCTCGTTCGGAAACAATCCCTAAACCTGTCTTGGGGTCCACTTGGTGCAATTTGTTTTACCCCACATCCGTTTTGACGGCCCCGGGCTCCGAAGACGGACGGCCCCCAGGGACCACAGGGGGCAAGCAACCTTCTGGAACCCAAAACCTCGAACCTATTCCCCCTCTCTTGCTGGCCGGAACCAGTGCTGGGCCACCTGCGACCCCCCAGCCGACTCCAAATTTGCAGTGCGCACGCCCCCCCTTCGTTCCACCTTCGGACCCTGGGACTCGCCCTCCGACCCACCGCCACCCTGATGCGCTCCTCGCGCGCCGCGGGGCCGAATTCGAAGAACAACGCACAGACCGAACAGCAACAAATCGTCGGAGACCTGGCCCCGTGCACGCCGCGGGGCCGAATTCGAAAAACAACGCCCAGATCGAACCGAAACGCAACGTCGGAGACATGGCCCCTCCTGGACCCCGGGGCCTTCCCCCAAGACGAGATCTTCATCCTGGGTTGCTTCCGGACAGTCCCGGGGCCCGGTCTCGGGCCCCGGGAACCCGAAAACGCCGACAAGACCTCTGGATCCGTTTCCCTCGGGGCCCGCTTCCCCCATGGCGACTGCCACAAGACCTCGCCCTCCCACCCCCGCCCTGCTGCGACGGCCCCTCCCGGCGCCGCGCCCGGCGGGGTCACCGCCTTCCACGGACTTGTTTGGTCGAGGCCCTGTGCGCGCGCGCGCGCCGCTGGGCCCCCAGAGGAAGCAGTCACAGGTGGGAGCGACTGACTCTTCGTGATTGGTACGCGGACACGGTCCAGAGTTTTTGCACAGCGTGCCGTTGCGGCGGCCCTGGCGACATGCTCGGCCTTGCAACTGGACGGCGTGTGGCTCGGGTCCGCGGGGCGGGAGGCCCGAAGAGACTCGGGCGCCGGCGCCTGGAAGTGATAGCATGTCGCGCCGAAGTTTGGTGGGCCAGAACAGGCTGATCGACGCGCGACGTCAGAGTTCCCGACCGTACTGCTGTGACCTAAGCAAACCCAGTCACCATCGCCCAATGCATGGTACTTGGCCGGCTATGCAGGCGGTCGAAGCAGGATCCCCGTCCCGCTAACCAGCATTCGGGATTACGAAATTAATGTTGGGAACTTTGGTATATTTTTCCCCTTGCCGACAGGTAGGAGTCGCTAGGTTTTCAAATCAGACGTCCCGACCAGCCCACCCTGCATACCGCGGCCGCAAGAGCCCCATGTCCACCGAATAACCCCGGGACCCCCGCCCCTTCCGACCCGATCCGCCCAGCTTGTATACCGCGGCTGCCAGAATGAGTTATGACGCCCCAGAGCAGGCAAACTGCTAAACACCGGGCTGCATTCTAAGTTTAAAACTAATTATCAAATCGGACTTCAGCGAAAACGCGAAACACACATGTGCGAACGTGAACATAGCAGAACACGATATGAAATCCGATGCGGCTGTAAACGAAGCCGTGAATTCAACGAAAACCCCAGAGGTAAGTGTGACCTCGGCGACTAATGGACAAGTGTGACTTCGGCGACAAACGGAAGTGCTCATTCCCCCAACTGCAACTGCGAACAACAAACGAAAACCACGACAATCGCATGGGAAACGCTTGCTCAAACTACTCAGATTCACTCGCGTCGCGCGCGAGTCTCTTCCAGCGCGCTCATATCGCGCTGGCGTGCGCCACGCCCCCGGGCTGACTTGCGCGCCAAGGCCCCTGGCGCGAACGCCCATGCACCACGCGGACCGCAGCAGCGTTCAGCTCGCTGGACAACGGCCGATCTCCATGATCGCCCACCGTGCGCCAGCGAAAACAGGACCCAACATACCCGAACGAGGCCATTCACAAGGGGGCTCGCCCGACGTTCCCTTCCCATTCCCAGGGAGGCATCGGCATCGACAGGCACTGGCAGGAAATTCAAGAGATCACACGACCGCAGCCGATGGGATTGAGGTGGCGATCCCAGCGGACGACAGCCCTCATCGCCGCGATTTACGCAGCAGCGAACAACGTCGCGGCAAGCAGCCGACCGCGACCGCCCCGCGCCAACCCGCGCCCCATGCGCCGACCGCCGCCGCCCCGAAGCACGAACCACCCCACGACCCGACCAACATTGACATCCAAAGGCCAGCCCTGCCAGCCCCGCCGCAAGGGCCACCGCCGCCCGCCCTGGCGACCCAAGCACCGCCATGAGGGGTTCCAATGCAGAAGCGCCAGCGGCAATCAAACTGGCGCGCGCGCGACCATCGCGCGCCACGCGCCGGTGCAACATACCATCGGCAATCAAGAAACCACCCGCAGCCGTGCCAGAGGACCATCGCCATGCACCAGCGCCAGCGACAGACGACAGACCAGCAGACAGAGCCGCAGCCGCCGCGGGCGAGCTTCAACAGCCCACGCCCGGAGGCCACGACCACTGACAAATATGGCAACTTGCAGGATATCCACTGCGGCAAAACGGCAGACCCACAGCGAGGAGCAAAGCGTTTGAGGCGCGGCGTAACCAATCTCGCCGCAGCACAATCCTGGAATTCTTGATTCCACGACGCCTCCAATCCGAAGCGACCCTCACTTTTGACGCGGCTGCGTCTCGCGCAGGAGCCTGGGCCCGGCCCGGTCACTGCCCGCGCGAGCCTCCAGTACATTCGCATTCGCGCATGCATTTAAAACCCCTTCGCGCGTTGCGCGCCGCGGCGAGCCGCTCGACGCATCGCCCCGCTGCAGGCGGCGGCCGGAGAGGGGGCGCCGCTCGCGCGCGGCGGCGCAACAGAACTGCGACATCGGTGGCGCGGTGCGCCGTGCTGCGCGGCGGTGCGCCAGCCGCGCTGAGGCGGCGACGCGCGGCCAGCGGCGCCGACGCCGCGGGCCTCGCGCTCGAGGTGGGGGCGCGTTCGGATCGACGCGCGCGTCGCGGTCGCGCCGCGCTCGATGTGGCGCGCGAGTGCAAGGGCGAGGACGACGCGGCGGTCGCGCCGCAGGGCCCCCCTGCGCGGCGCCCGGATTAGCGGCGCAGACCCGACCGCCGCCCATCGGATGCAGAGCGCGCGGCGCAGGGGGGACAGAAGGCGGCGCAAGGGGCAGCGGGGGGGGAGGAGAAGGAGGAAGGGAAAGACAAGGGGATAAAAGGGGGGAAGGACGGGGCGGGCGCCAAGGGAGGGCGCAATTGATTTTGCAGAGCGCGGGCGCGCTTCGCCGCGAGCCTCCGCGGCCGCCGCTCGCGCTGGCCAACGTCGATCTTGAAAGCGCCGCCCCCGCCTGGGGCGTCCGATCGCGCGGGGCAGCTCCCGGGGGATAGCGGGGCGCCCGGGGGATGGGCCGGGGGATCGGGCTCCCGAGAACCCCCCCTGTCATCAAACAGTTGGTAACTTGTAGCAAGCGCTGCGCGCTTCGGTGGAACGCGCGGGGCGGCCCCAGGGCGTCGCAAAGTGCCATCAAACTGCGGGGGGCCTCGCGCTAGGTGCCGGGGGCGACCTGCGCCTGCACTTCACTCGCGCGGAGTGCAATTGCCGCTGGCAACGGCCGGCGCATGTCTCGCACGTCGAGAAGGAGACGCTCTTCGAGACGTGCGCTGCCCTGCGTTCCTCTCTCGCGCGGCACGCGAGCCGTTCTTTCCAGGGCGACGGCGCCCCGCGCTCCCAACCTGCGGGGGGCGCGCCAGAATCCATCAGCAATGGCGCCCCGTGTCCTTCACTTGCGCTCCAGGCGGAGGATTTCTGCCCTCGACATTGGACCGCTGCTGGCATTCGCCGGCGCCTCCCCCGCGCGACGAAGGGGGCGACGTTTTCGCCGCGCAAAGCGCGACCCGACGTTTCCCCTTTGCACGGCGCGCGAGCGATGCTGCCCGGGTCAACGGCGCCCCGCGCTCCCAAACCGCGGGAGGCGCGACGAGATTCACCGGCAATGGCGTCCACTGCTCTGTTTACGCGCGGAGCGCGAAAGATTTCCTGCTCATGCCTCGGAATCGCCGCTGGCGTCCGCTGGCGTTTGCCTCGCGCGTCAGGGGGGCGACGCTTCGTCGTGGAATGCGCGGCCCCGCGGCCCTTCCCCGCGCGACGCGCGAGCGATTTGCCTTGGCCAACGGCGCCCCGCGCCCTCATCCCGCGGGGGGCGCGACATAGTTTATCATCGGTTTGTTGCTCTTGACCTAGAATCGCTGCTGGCATTCGCTGGCGCATCCCCCGCGCGTCGAGGATGGCGATGTTTCGCAATGGAATCCGCGGCCCCGCGGCCCTCCCCCGCGCGGTGCGCGAGCGATTTTGCCCGCGGCAGCGGCGCCCTGCGCCCCCAGCCCGCGGGGGGCGCGACGTATTTCATCTGCAGAGACGCCCCGCGCCCATGCCCCGCGCGGAATGCGAAAGAATTTGTTGCCCTTGACTCAGAGTCGCTGCTGGCGACCGCCCGCGTTGTCTCGGGCGTCGAGGGCGATGTTTCGTCGCGAAATGCGCGGCCCCGCCTTCCTCTCGATCTCGCGGGGCGCGCGAGCGACCCCCCCGGGGCCGCGGCGCCCCGCCCCCTCAACCCGCAGGGGCCGCGACAGATTAACGCGGCAGCGGCGCCCTGCGCCCTCAGATCGCGCGGGGCGCGAGAGATCTACCCGGCGCAGAACCGTCGCTGGCGTTCGCCGGCGCCTGCCCTGCGCATCGCGAAGGGCGATGTTTCGTTGCGACACGCGCGGCCCCGCGTTCCTGTTTCGCGCGAGGCGCGAACGATTTCTGACCAACTTGAATTCGCGCGGAGACGCCATCTCGCGCGGCGCGCGGGAGAGTCCCCAGCGACGCGGGCGCTGGGTCGCTTGAGGCGCGCGCAAGAAGAGCGCCGCGCGACCCCGGCGGCGCGCGCCCCGGCCGCCCCCGACCACGCCCGCCGCCGGTCGGGCCTCGACCATCGGCCTCGCCCGCGGGCCCGCAGCCCCCCCGGCGCCCTGAGGACAGAGGGCGCCCGCAGATGCGGGGCCCGCAGCTGGGGCCCCTGGGCCCAATCGCGCCCCGTGCGCGCGGCCGCTTGCGAGGGCCGCGCCCAGGGGCGCCACGCCCAGTTTGCCCAGGATTGGATTTTTGGGAGTGCACACGCACGCGCACACACACACATATGTATATATACATATATATATATATGTACAGTTTTGAAAATGCCTGGATTTGAAAGTCTGAAGAATAAAAATTTGAAAGGTGCGCACCCCTTGTGGAAGTTTAAGAAGCGCGGAAACAGTTTGAAATAACTTTGGGAAAAATGTGCCCCGTTCTGGTAGGTTGACAAGTATGTCGCTAAGTTTGTCCTGATTCGGACGTTTGAAGACACATTGGGAAAAGTGTCTATGCGGTGCGCCCAGAAGTGCGACGCAAGTGCTATTTTTGTTTTTGTTGGGGGGGGAACACAACAAAAAGCCGAGGCACATGCGAAACAATGAAACGAGTTTGAACCAACAAAAACGCTTTGGAAGTTCAAGGAAACTTCGGAAGTAAACTTGGAACGCAATGCACCCCGATTTGGGGGTTGGAAAAATTGATGCAAGTCTGAAAACAAATTGCCCGGATGCGGAATTTTGAGAAACAAATTCAGAGCGCACGGTCGAAAAAAGTTTGCCCCGTTTTGGGAGTTGGAGAAGACGCGGAAAGCTTGCCCCGATTCGGGCGCCGACGCGCGCGCGCAGGGTGGACCGCGCCGACGCGAAGGGGTACGCGGCCGCGGTGCGCCCAGAAAAGGCGCGCGGCATAACCGCGCCAAGGCCGGCGCGGTTTTTCCAAGCGGGCGCGACCGCGCCCCAGCGCGCAACTGGCGTGGCCCGCGCCAGCGGACCCTTGCAAGCCAGGCGCGGCCGCGCCGACGCCCGCGACTGAACCGCGCCCAGGCCAGCGCACGTCATCGCAAAGCTGCGAGAACGAATGCCCTCGCCAAAACACGGGTAACATCGGGGCTCACAGAAGATCACCGAGCGCTTCGCATTTGCGTTTGGTTTATGTCACTACCCCCGCCCCCCCGGAAACGACGTGAAACTTCGAACACTGAACTGTGGCAACATGTTGTTTCATTCAGAACTGTTGAAACCTACGAATCAACATAAAAACAACTCGACCATCCAGAAAGTGCAGCTTCGAAAATTGAATGGCGAGAACCAATGGCGCCACTTGCACTTGAACTTCGACGCTGCGGTCTATCTCAATCTTGGCCCATTTAGAATTCTAACTTGGAAAACTTAACGGGCGGAACAAATTGCTTCGCAGGCATTGTGAATTTTCGAAAAAAAAATACTTGCAAGGCCGGCGCCCGTGGGAAGCTTGACGCGGGGAGAGTCGCGCAAGCGTGAGCCACTTGCAACTTCGACTTCTGCTGCTCGAATTCGAACGTGCATGGCAGCCTGGAACACTGTTCGTTCTGGAAGTTGCGCTGTGAATGCCGAAGGCCGCGCGCGCCCGCGAGATAAACGAAGCCTCTGGAAAGCGGAACCAACGTTGCCCTCGAAACCTCCATGGCGGAAACCACATGTCCCACCTGCAATTTGGATTCTACCAGAAATAACGAGTCCAGTCTCGCGAAACATTGTTTACGTCGGGAAAAATGGTGGGCCACCAGGATTTGCACTTGAAGCTTGTGTAATCCGAATCGCAAATGATAAATCCAACGCCCCGCAAATCCTCTCATATTCAACGGGTTCCGCGTGAATGTCGGAAAGATTATGCGAGGTTCCTCTGGTTCCGTGCAAACCCCTAGCAATGATTCCGCAAAGTGCCATGGATCCCGCGCGCCCGTCGGATGTCGGAATCATTCCGCAAGGTTCCGCGGAGTCTGTCTGATCCCCCAGAGCCGATTTCATTGAGTTTCGTGGAATGCGCGCCCCCGTCGGATGGATTCCGTGAGATTCTGCGCGATTCCCCGGCTGAGCAGCCGAAAGAATCTGCGCATTCAGCGCGCCCGTCAGACTGGTTCCGCGGATGCGGCGGGGCTGCGTACGAGGGGTTCCGCGACATTTGGCGGGCCCGTGCATCTGCCGGACAGGCGCCGCGGGATTCTGCGCGCCATGGCGCAACTTCTGCGTGCAACGCGCCAGCCAGACGGAATCCACGACATTCAGCTACTTTCGCGGGGGGGGCCGGGGGGGAACGCGCATTGCGCGGGCCCCGCAGGTTCCGCGCGCGCGTCTGCAAGATGCCGCGAGAAACCGCCGATTCTGCGCGGCCCCCTAGAAGCCTCTGCAAACGCGTGTTAGGGCCCCGCAGATTTCGAGCATCCACGGGAAAAAAAATCAGCGTGATTCCGCGCGGTTCCATAGCGCCACATCCCCTATAGTCACCGGAACCAATGCGTCCGTCCGACTGAACCCATGAAGTGTTTTGGGTTCCACGGGCGGGGGCCGACGCGCATTCCGCGAGATTCCGCTGGCCCCGCGCAACCGTCGGCGGGGTTCCGCGGGGCCCCGCGGATTCCTCGCGGCCCTATAACGAAGATTTGCGGGGCTCCAAGGATTCCGTGCGACGGTCGGACAGGCTCCGCGAGAACCCGCGGACCCTGTATGGCCCCCTAGAAGGGATCCCGTGGATTCCGCGCGCCCGCCGCGGGGGGCCCGCGGGATTCCGAGGGTTTCGTTTGACCCCCTTGCGCAATTCATTGGCATGCCGCAGGTTCCGAGCATCTCTCGGGGAGAAGCAGCGAAATCCCTTGGGCGCCGCGGGGGGGCCCAGCGCAGGTTCCATGGGATTCCGCGCCGAAAGATTCCGCGAGATCTCTCGGAATCAGCGCGACGCCCCCCGGGCGCCGCGCGCCCGCCGGAAGAATTGAAGTGGTGCTGGCCCGCTTTGCATGAACTCCGAAACTCTCTCGCTCCGCGCCCGCCAAATTCCCCCCCCCCACCGGGTCGCGCGCCCCCAGAGCATCCGAGACCGGGAATTGTCGGTGGCGTTTTCTGCTCCACCTGAATTCCAAGCGTCGCGACCGATTTTCCTCCTGTCGCGAAGGTTCCCTTCGTTGCTGGAATTCGCCCCTTTGCGGGAACTGGACGAAATTCGGTAACGACCGAGCGGCAAATTCCGGCAACGGCAAAACGGAATCCGGTAGCGAGCGAACATGAATTTCGGTAGCAATCCCCACCAGCGCCATCCTCATGTGAAGATATGATGTGATGATGATGGTGATGACGATGACGATGATGATGATGGTGATGAGGAGGCTGTTGTTGATGGTGCTGATGCGGATGATAATGATGATGCTGATGCTGATGGTGGTGATAATGCTGCTGATCATGATGGTGATGGGGGTGATGTTGATGATGCTGATGGTGCTGATGATGCTGATGATGATGGTGATGATGATGGTGGTAATCTTCACTTCCTCACGTGTATGGGGCGCGATGGTAAGGCGCGTCGTTTAATTCGCCCCATTCGATCTACCGCGAGCCCTGCATATTTACACACATGAAACGAGTTAGAAATGTTGACCAGGTGAAACTGAAATGTTGATCGCAGCAGCTTCAGAGGAGAACGACACAAATTGGCCAATGCAACGTACGCACATTCGGTCGCACTGCTTCGAAATGTGACACGATGGACGTACGGGCACGCAAACGAACCAGTTGTGTACAACAGAACAACACTCCTGGCCCCATTCTCCGACTCCGCATGAACTTGCTCTCCCTCCACTTTCCCCGCCCCCTCTTTCCCGCGTCGCATTCACCGATTGACGGGCGGGTTTGGTAGTGCACGTGCGAGGAAGAGTGTGATCCGATGAGGGGGCGAGGAGGGGCGAAGGATGACATGAAGGAATGAGGGGAAGGATGGCGAGGTGAAGGGAGGTGAGAAGGGGCGAGGGGGAGAGGGGACACCTTGTTGCGGCCTCAGCAGCTGCGCCCTCACTACGGCGCTGGGTTGGGCGTCGGGCACAAATAGGGCGGTGGGAGTCGGGTAGGGTTGCGCCATGGCCAGGGAGCCGGGCAGGGCGGTCGAGCGCCGCCAGGGGGCAGCGGGCCAGAGGCGGGGGGGAGGAGGAGACAAGGTGTATGAAAGGGGGGGGGAATCGGAGGATCATAGTACTTCCTCTCCCCCGTCCTCCTCCTCATCCTTCTCCTCATCTTTCCCTACATGCTCCACCTCGCGAGTTGCGTGCAATGGGGCCGCTGCTAGGTTGCGCTGGCTGCGCTGGGGTCTAAAACAGCTACGCGGCGGAATATCTCACCACGTGGATGGCACCATATCGATCCACAGGTTGCACCGTATAGGTAGCACCGCGGAAGACTACACCGAAACATCGACTGTAACATTGTAGGTCGCATCGCAGTGGTTGCACCACACGTTGCACCAGCGCTCGTGGCTCCAGATAAATTTCCCTTGAAAGAGAATAAGCTGTACCCCCCCGGCGTTATCGGTCCCCCTTTGGGGTAAGTAAATCATATCTGATTCTGACCATATGTCCATCCTAAATATGAATCTACATCATCCCGGGGGGGCCAGGTTCCCCCCCCTGAAGTTCCTTTTTTTTTTTTTTTTTTTTTTTTTTTTTTTTTTTTTTTTTTTTTTTTTTTTTTTTTTTTTTTTTTTTTTTTTTAAAAAAAAAAAAAAAAAAAAACTGTGCGGTGACACGTTTGCTCAAACATAACACTTTTTTCGCAAAACCCTGGCACAAAAAAACGGGACGAAATGCACACGCGCGCGTCGTCGCGCGCGCATGCCAAAATCCTTCAAAAACCTTCGGTGCCGGAAGGATTTCGCAATCGAGTTCCCAAACAACATACAAACACACATGGTGTCGCAACACTGATTTGCTACAAAAGCTTGCGCGCGAGCTCTTGCGAAATCTGTGGAAAATCATGGGTTTACAAGATGCTCACAAAATGCTACCAAACGGGCGTCGCGCGCGCACATGTCGAAATCTGTCGAACGCCCTTTCGCGTGTGCCGTCGCGAGAATCCTCTGCAAAAAAAGGGACGAAGTAAAGACGCGCGCGTCGTCGCACGCGTATGCCGAAATCCTTCAAAACCCAACGGTTTCGGAAGGATGTCAACATCTTGCGTTCAAGAAACCTACAAAAACACAAGGTTTCGCAACACGGCTTTTCAACAAAAGCGTGCGCGCGCGCTCTTGCGTCGTCGTCGTCGTCGTCGTCGTCGTCGCCGTCCTCCCTCCTCCCGCGTCGTCGTCGTCGTCGCCTACGTGGTCCTCTGTCTTTCCTCGTGTTCGTCTTCGTCGTCCTCTTTGGCGTCGTGGTCGTTTCCGTCGTCGTTGTCGCCATGGTCGTCCTTCCTCCTCCTCCCTCGTCGTCGTCGTCGTCGTCCGTCGTCGGCATCTCGTCGTCGTCCCTCCTATTTCTCCGCCGTCGTCGTCGTCGTCGTTGTCGTCGTCGTCTTCCCTCCTCCCTCGTCGTTGTCGTCGTCGGCGTCGCCGTCCTTCCTCCTTTTTCGTCGTTCGCGTCGTCGCCGTTCTCCCTCCTCCCTCGTCGTTGTCGTCGTTGTCGCCGTCGTCGTCCTCCCTCCTCCCTCGTCGTCGTCTTCGTTCGCGACGTCGTCGTCGTCTTCGTCGTCGTCGGCGTCGGCGTCGGCGTCGTCTTCGTCGTCGTCGACGTCGACGTCGTCGTCGTCGCCGCCATCGTTGTCGTCGTCGTCGTCGTCGTCGTCGGCGTCGTTGACGTCGTCGTCGTCGTCGTCGGTGTTGTCGTTGTCGTCGACGTCGGCGTCGTCATCGTCGTCGTCGTTGTCATCGTCGTCGTCGGCGTCGGCGTCGGCGTCGTCGTCGTCGTCGGTGTCGTCGTTGTCGACGTCGTCGTTGTCGGCGTCGTCGAAGTCGTTGGAGACGTCGTCGGTGTCGTCGTAGTCGTTGTCGTCGGCGTCGTCGTCGTCGTTGTCGCTGTCGTCGTCGGCGTCGCTGTCGTTGACAAGTGCCATTTGGTACCCACCTCACGGTCTTAAGAGATTTTGCAAACCAAGTTGCGGGTGGGTGGGTGGGATGTTTGCGCGAGCAGTGGAGTGGACAACTCACTGCGAACAGAAATTAATTGCACCACATAGACTGCACCACATATATTACAGTTGGTTGCCCCACATATATTGCACCGCGTACAGCGACCGCGACCGTGGTAGTGGTAACGGCGGTCGTGCTGGTGTTGATGATGATGACAATTATAATGATTATGGCCTTGGAAGCAACGAGAGAGACATGAACTGGCGGATTGAGACACAGCCCGTTGCCATCTCGAGAGACCGCACCTTCGCGCGGATCGCAGATGCCGCATCGCGCGGCCACGCTCCCAAACTTGGGCAACATTGAGCATCGGTCCAGACCTCTTCTTCCCCTTATCAGTCATCCTCCTAGTCCTCCTCCTCCTCCTCTTGCACCCGTTCGCGGCCGAACCGCGTTCAAACCGCACCTAAACGTGACATCTCGAAATCCTCGGCCCCGAAATTTCCCAGGGGGCCAGAGTGATGACTTAGACTTTCCTGAGGAGCCTCACGAGGGCTAGGCTCGGAGCCCCACGGCGGCGAGGGGGCCGCGTCCCATGTAGTCAGAACACCGCGCACACTCCTCCTCCCTCCTTCTTCCTCATGTCTGCCCCATCCAGCACTGTTTATTACCACTAACCCCAGGAAGCATTTAAGAACCCCCCCGGCGATATCTTAGCACCGCATGTTTATTCGATATTCCGAGGGGCCGAAATAACCGCACGATAGGTTTAGCACCCGGACACACAACAAATTCGCGGAGGCCTGGCCCCTGGGCTACAATCGAAGTTCGTGGGTGGAGGAGAGGAGGAGGAGGAGGATGAGGAGGAGGAGGAGGGCTCCTGGTGCCAGGTAACGCTTCCAGGGTGCGGAAGGGTTATCGATTTGCCGGAAGGGGGGGGGGGGGGTTCTTAAATGCTTCCTGGGGTTAACTCCTCCGTGTCGCACCCCCCGACGTGTCAGCAGGGCGGGCCATGCGTTTCGCCTGGGACTGCCACGTCACTAGTATGTTTAAGCTTGAGCGCTCCAGGATTTCGATTGATGGTGGGTGTCGGTGTCAAAATAGGGATCCCTCCTTAGCAGCGCAGGCATTCGTCTTAGAAGCATGCAAAGGATCAATGAATGGAAGACGGTGGTGTTCAAAATGGGGCTCTCGCATCAGCGCCGATCGCAGCCGCGAAAAGGCTTGCGACAGCTGCAGGGACAGGGGGTGGCTCCCACTGACAATGGGGCTTTCACGTGAGACGACGCAGCCGTGTCGTGAAAGGGCTGGCCTGCAGTAGGAAGGCACCAACTATACACCAACACCGATCCTGGGCCAGGATCGGTGTTGGTGTATAGTTGATGCCCTCCGATGCAGCAGTCGCACAGCGGCACAGACGTGCGGGCGGCTCCTCTGCAAAGCGGGGCTTTCGCTTGAGCTTTCCTCGAATCCGCACACGGTGCGGCTGCACGGACGGAGGGCGGCTCCTCCTCGGACTGGGGCCCTCGCTCGAGCGGGATCTCCCGGACGCTCGCAAGGACAAGTGCGAGCTCGTGCGCTGGGGTTGGCCAGAGGCATGGGCGGCCCCAACCGGATGATGGGCCTGTTTTCCACCACCACCACCAGAAGTTGGAGGGGGTGAGGAGGAGGAGGAGGAGGAGGAACAGGAGAAACACGACGTTGAGGATGACGAAGAGGAGGACGAAGAGGAGGAGGAGGAGGAGGAGGAGGAGGAGGAGGAGAAGGCGGAGGACGAGGAGGAGGACGAGGAGGAGGAGGAGGACGAAGAGGAGGACGGAGGAGGAAGGCGGGAGGAGGAGGAGGAGGAGGAGGAGGAGGAGGAGGAGGAGGAGGAGGAAGGACACCTCGTTCAGCTGCACAATCCCGCCGTTGCACGCACTGGCCAGGGCACTTCCGTCTCAGGACAGGGGCTCTCGCCGGAGGGGGCAGGCCCACAGAGCGCTGGCACCTCGAGGGGGCGGGGGGGCATGCCGAGGTCCCTCGTCCCTCCTCCCAGGAGTCCCCAAGAGTGGCCCCAGAGGCTCCCGAAATGCCTTCTCCTCCTCCTCCTCCTCCTCCTCCTCCTCCTCCTTCTCCTCACCCTCCTCCCCCTCTGCTCCTCCGCTGCCATCACTCCGACATCCATGCCCCGAGCATGTTTCGGTTTCGTGGGTGATTTTTGTTTGCCCGGTGATCCAGGATGCTCCTCGATGGTCCTCGCCGAAGGAAAATGCACACGCCCGAGCGACGCCAAGTGTAGGGACTGATGAGCAGGGGACTTCGGGGTCGGCAGAGTCGTTAATGCGTCTTGGGTTTGCCCTGGTCCTCCTCGTCCTCCTCCTCCATCCATTCCTCCCTTCTCTCGTCTTCCCGCTTCTCCCGCCGTTCTCAGCGCCCCCCGCGCGCCGAACGCCTGTATCTCGACGTCCACCACCGCGAGTTTCGAGAACTCGGGCGGGGGTGCGGCGCGGCATAGGTAGCTGCGGGCGGCGGCTGTGGAGAGAGAGAGGGAGGGTGTAGAGGCCTCCTACATGGGGTCCAAAAAGATGGGGTCGGAAGATCGCGACGCATCGCCGATGCATCGGCGATGCATCGGCGACGTCTGCGGTGCATCGGCGACGCCAGCGTTGAGAACATCGGGCTCCTTATCTAGCCGCATCGCAAATGCATCGGCGATGCAGCGCGATACTCCAGCCCCATCTCCTCCGACCCCATCAACGAGGTTAAGAAAAAGGGAGACAGGCGCGAAACCGCAGCAGAGTGGCGCCGACGAGAGAGGTGCGGAGAAGGGAGGAGCGGATAGGGGGGAGGAGTGGAGGGGGGCAGAAAGGGAGGGGAACGAGAGCGAGAGAGAGAGAGAGAGGGATCGCAAAGCGCAGAGCGGGGTCCCGCGGGAAGCGGGTCCGTGACCACGGGTGGGCGCGAGGTGGCCCTCTTCTCGGCGCGGTCTCCTCCTCGCCCTTCTCCTCGTCGCCGTCGCCGTCGCCGTCGCCGTCGCCGTCGTC